CATAGATAACTTTATACATTTCATTTGGTATTTCTAGCTTGAACATTATGTCTTATGCTATATGTAGGCAATATATAATTATAACCTCAAGGCTATAACACGGATAGTAAGGTAAATCTACAGCTTTATAACTCAAGCCTAACGGGGGTCAAGAAACTGTCAGATCAGCAGCACCGTCCCGTGGCGGCAGACATGTAGCCTCTGAGGTCCCACAGAAGAGGCTGTCTCTACGATCGCGATCATGTGTTTGTCCCATGGTTATCCAGATGCTCATCTTCTTCTCATTACTCTTAATGAATTTTACTCTTAGAAAAGAACAAAAAAAAAGTTATAGACAAAAGCAGAAACAAGGATGCTCTTGCTGGAGGAGTGCCCTGCCGAGCCCTGCAGGCCCACCCCTGGCTCTTCTCAGTCCTTAACATGTGTTGTTTCTGTACAGGTGCCCAGCGTCAGATGGGAGGATAGAAAGGGCAGGGGAGAGGACTTGTGTGTCTGATGCAGGCTGGACGATAACTGGGCCAGGGTCTTCCATTTCCTGGCTGTTCTGGTGGACAGGATGCTGGGTGAACTGACTGTGGTAGCAGAAACAGCCAGCATTTCACGTGACAGAGAAAAGCCTAGTCCAGCTTAGTGTTTTGAAGACCACTGTAGGTCTCCAGACTCAGGGTGGAACCCTTCACACTGGATGTCTAAGCGACAGTGACCACCCTGAGCCCAAATTTACTCTGATACACCATCGCAGCAAGGCATGGCAATGGAGGCGCATCTTGTGCTCGAGTCTAAAACAGTTCCCTTAAATAATGTAGCCTGAGAACTCGACATATAGTTTCTACTCCTGGGGTCCACAGCCTAAAAAAGCATTCTAGTACCTATCTTGTAGACAGACAGGGCTGTTTTTGGAACTAGTCCTTAGTGTCAGACTTACAAAGCTGTTTAGAGATTGACTCCTGTTAAGCATCTAGGCTTTAAAGGAAACAAGTCTCTGACGTGCTGGGGAGTACTCACTGAGGCAGAGTTTCAGTTGCTGTAAATAAATACCGCTGATCTGAACTTTTGCAAAGCTCAATAACATAGTACCTTTAGAGGAGGATGATGCAGATAAGATTTAAAAAAAAATTTAAAAATCACCACCATCCCTCAAAAACAAAAAAACCCAACCTAGAAATGAATCTGATAGTGAGATCAGTCCTTGGAATTTTTTCTTTTTCTAAGTAAGGTTTCTTACTTGGATCTCTCAGGAGTAAGCTAGCATCCACCTGTCATCAAACTAACAAATACTGGTAGCATCTATGCTTAACTATTCTGCCTGCTTGGTTGCCTTGGTCCTCTCCTCCCATCCCTTAGTCCTGGGATGAGACCTGGATATTAGAGGTAGGTGGTTAAATTGCACAGCACAGTTAGAATAAGCTATTTCTGAGTGTTCTTGAAAAAATCTAGGTGCCTAACAGAAAAGATGCCTGGGAATTTAGGGCAGGTGGAGGTCAGAAGGAGGGTTAAGTGCTGGACAACTCTGCCTAACGTGGGGGATTGGAGGAGTCCAGCTTCTTGTGTTCCTTGGTGGGTCCAGCCCTCGGAGCAGGCTATTTCTTCACAGCAACATTGTTTTACCCCAAGATGCACAGCCAAGGGACAGCAGAAGACAAGCAGAATGAGCAGTATCATGAGCGTGTTATAGAGTAGGAGCAGCTCTTTAAAACAAAGGAACCTAATTGAAATAAATAAAGAAGATAACAGGAGATAATGTGTATTACTCTTCTAACTGATATCTTCTTTCATAGGCTGTGATTTTTGTGTTCACCCTGTTGATCCAAACCTGGTGACTGCCTCTCCTACATTCAGAAGTCCCAGCAAAAACGGATTATGAATATTTTTTTCTCTGATTTCTTTTTTAAAAGAGATGTCAGTTTATGCCCTTTGAAGACTCAGTAGTAATAGTAATTGCGGAATTTCCTTTGAACATGGGACTTAAACATCTACCTTTTTCACCCAGCATAAAAGATGAATTTTATTACTGTGGAAATCTGGTTTTAGTTTCCTTAAAGTCTCGTAGATTCATTTTCCAGTTACACAGAAGATAGTTACCCAGTGATTCAAGACTCAGTTTTTTAATGAAAATGTGCTTTATTCTGTTTATTTCCTTTCAGAAAAGTTTCTAAGGCCTTAAAAGAACAAAGAAAAGACAGAATTCTCTTACAGTCTAGGTAGTATGCTGAGCTGGTTGCTATCCATAGTTCTGTCATGTTACTCCCTTGATTTTTCTTTTCCTCCCTCTTAACTTTTTGTGCAAGCATTACAGCATGAAATAGCACAGTATTGTTCAATATAAAGTTTTCAAATTAAAGTTGATGAAGTTTACCCAAAAGGAACTAAAAGTTTCCAAAAGAAAAAGGCAGAAAATAAACAGCAATAAACAAATACTTTGTTCTATTTTACACTGGGAAGTCTATTTACATAATCTAAACTCTATCACAGATAACAGGCTTTTACTGGGTCCTGTCCTGCCAGACTCATAAAATATTTAGTGTTTTAATATTGCATTTCTGGTTACACTTTTGGAACTTTCTCTTGTGTGCAGCTTACCGGTTTTAAGCCAACGAGAATATTGATAAGTTTTTTGTTGTTTTCTTTTTGGTTTTCATTTGTATCAGTCTCATGTTCAGCTGCTGTTCACTGAGATTACCATGGTACAAAAATGAAGCTGTTGTTTTGGGTTTGTTTTATGAAAAAAACAATATATTATTCTTATGCTATGTGTGATGTCACTTTCCCTGTGGACTATCCTAGTAAAAGTAATATGTCTATGGAATTTTAATTAAAGCAGATTAAATACTTGTAAAGATGTGCCCTACAGATTTCTTTTTTCTTCCTCAAATCTCAAAAATAAGCAATTATTTTTAAAAGAAAAGCTAAAAGTACCAAGGGAGGCAAGAAATAAGGGCATTACCAGAAATAATCAAAACAAACTGGTATTCCAGGTACTTATCCTCAACTTCTCGCCATTTTTTACCCTCAGCAAAGTAGGGGTGTATTTTAACTGTCTCTACAAGCAGTGAAACAATACTGACTTCTTGGCTTATGGATATTTCTGTATCAGGGTTCCAAGTGAAAACTTCAGCGTAATCAAATTCATTACATTATCATTTTGGCATATTAATATAAATTGGATCATCAAAGAAACAACCTGATGCTACAGAGTTTTATTTGTAATGCTCTACACAACTTGGAATTATCTGCTATGACATTTGATAACTCAGGAAATAAACCAACTTATTAATAGTACAGTTCTGTGTATCCTCATCAACTTCACGTGCAAGCATTTATACATCTGGAAACCTTCAGTAAGTGAAAGAAAAAAAAATATCGCTTGCAATGTGTGTATGTCCTTCTTCTGAAGTACACAAAACCAAAATGAGATGTTTTCTTACAGTATATGACATTGTAAACAATTTCAGTCTTCAGTGCTAGGTTGAAGGACAATTTGGTTTAGGATTTTACATTTTTACCTGAAACGTAGGATAACCACATGATGTTATTATTGCTCAGCTAGTTCAGAGAAGCCTGATGTCCACATTATTCTCAGAAGAACCTAGACTCTGTCTTCCTGCGCACATGAAGAAAGCTTTCCATTGGAGAAGGCTACACAAAATGTGCTTTTCACTGTCAGGCTGTAGATGCTCCTTTCTAGCCAGCCAAGTGGAACCAGTACCTGATCTGTAGGCAAACTCACGAGGCCTCCCTCCCAACCCCTTTCCAAAGAAATAAACAAACGCAGACATATTCAGCAGCACTTTTACTAACGCTTCAAGAGAAAAGAGGAACCAAGCATACATGGACCAGGCACACTGTTGGTAGTATGCAGACTTACATGATTGTCAGCCATCATGGTAACACCTTCATCTACTGGGATTTCATACTCAGTAATACAGCAGATTTGTAAAAGGCCAAAAGATGCGTAGATCCTAATTCTCAGGTCTGCCTTCTAGTTCTGTTTGTTCAAAGATTTTTTTTTGTCTGTTTGTTCAATTTCTGTGTGGTTTCTTTTGTAGGTTTCAGCAGAACATATACATATGCACACATACAACTACATATGTATGTGTATTATTCTGTAAATGTTCTCAGTCATGCTTTTTTCTGCTTTGCATCATTTATTCATGTATCTTCCATGTTCTCATTATTTTTTGTGCAACGAAATTATAATAAATTATTATTAAATATAACCTGACAGTGACAGAGTCTTCATGTTTCGTTTTCTCCTGGGCACGGAGGGAGAGGTGGAGGGGAAGGAGGGAGGGAGGAGACCAGGGCCTGCACTTCTATTCCATCCCCAAATAGAAAGTGCTGAAATAACTGTGGTGAGTGGCAAGAAGCCTGTAAAACCACACAGCTGTCAGATAGCAAGCTTCTGCTCATACTTTTAAATCTAGGTTCAAGGATCCCTGATATACTTGCTTTTGTCAGCTGAATAGTACTGTTTTCCCAGCAGCAAAATAACACCTCCTGCGTGGAAAATCATGGATATTTATTATTCTATAGAGCTCTTAATTTGAGATGCAAAAATCATGGGCGTAGATAACATCAAGCACATTTTCTTTCTCACCCTGTCACATAGGCTTCTCAGACACATAGATTTCTCAGACCAAATTAACTTTATGGAGACATATGCAGCTCCATTCTGCATGCCAGAGCTGTTCTAAAATTCTTACTTAAGAGTACACCTAGTGGGTAAAAATGTTGAAATTGCAGAAGTACAAACAATATTTAATTCTACATATAAATCAATGGATAGGTTAATGCTGCAGGCTGCAATACAACACAGACACACCTGGTGTAACTGGCCCAGACTGGCTGTCCAGCCAAAGCAGCCCAGACAGTGCTCAGCACAGCCCGTTTGACCTTCTACATCTCACTGATGCAAAGAAAATAAAATCGAAGCTGCAAATATAAGGCCTATGTTTTGGTTACTTCATTCTTAAGAAGGAATCTAATGGTCTTTTCTTAGGCTAGTGTGAGACATTTTTGCAGTTGACGTAAATCTCCTCTGTTTGCCCAAGTGATGATTCTTCTCTTCTTCTTCCTTTGTTCCGTGTGCCATGATAATTGGATCTTCCACAACTGTTAGCAGGCTAGAAGAACATTAAAAAAAAAAAAAAAAAAAAGAACAATCTGAAGGACTTTTCTCAAAACAACTATAAATTTAACAAAGGAGAAGAATGGCAAATTTTCCTCATATACTGATTTATTATTGGGAAATATTCAACCATCAATCAAAATATTTTTTGTCTTCTTGTTTTCTATGAATACGTTTCATGTTCAAGACATATGAAAAAAGAATTTGAACTTTGGATATGTTCCGCAGCTGTCCCACATCAGATGCCTGGTAAAGCACCAGTGGAATGCCCCCTTCCCCTCACATGCACACTTCAGGTATGGAAGTAGTCTTCTACATCAGTCTTAAAACATGAATTACTTTAAAGGTATTGACCGTGCTAGGAATTTGTCATGTCATTAGGACAGCTTAATGTGATGGTGCCTTGGTTAACTGGCACGGGAGGAAAGATGGTTTCTGAAGCAAATGGCTACTGTCAGCGTGACCTGGATAGGCTGGAGAGCTGGGCAGAGAGGAACCTGATGAGGTTCAACAAGGGCAAGTGCAGGGTCCTGCACCTGGGGAGGAACAACCTCATGCACCAGTACAGGCTTGGGGTGGACCTGCTGAAGAGCAGCTCTGCGGAGAGGGACCTGGGTGTCCTGGTGGACGACAGGTTAACCATGAGCCAGCAGTGTGCCCGTGGTCACCCTAGGAAGAGCTTCATTCTGGTACGAACAGTGACCCAAGAGTCAGAATGAGAGGAGACCAAAGGGCTTTATAAGGACATATCTACAGCGGAGCTCACTGTTGAACCATAGATAAGTGCCATCTGAGAGAGGATAGGTGGAAAGCTAGTCTCAGGTACACTGTGAGAATGGGATTGTTTCCCGAAGCACCACATCACTTCACACCCCAACTTTGTGTATGAAGAGACAAGGCAGAAACAGTGAAATTGAATCCTATCTTTCCACTTCTAAGCTTCAGGCCTTGAATAAGATTAAGGGGGAAAAAAGACTCCAAATTGCTAATAGTTACAGTGCAGAAAGAAAGAATAACTGAAACAGCTGTCTCAATGCATTATAATGAAACTGAACTAGAAGAAATAGATAAAAACAAAGGGTATCATGGGATAAAATTTTTTGCCTCAGTTTCAGAAGTAGTGACTTGAGGAAAAAGGTATTAACAATACAGAAATAATACAAAAGGTAGCAAACCGAAAGAGCTAATTTGTTAATAACATGGAACACAGTTCGGTCTCTAAATGTAGATGCGAAACATTAAGGAATATTTGTTAAAAAACAGTGAATAGTAATAATCGTACTTCATAATATTCACTTTTTCCTGTCTCTGTAGTTTAAGATTATTCTAAGATTCCTGGGATATGAAGAGCAGATATAGAAGAGAAAGATGCTAAGATATATACAATACAAAATGAGTGTAAACTCCAGCTCTCCAGCTGATCTTACCTGGATCTGAGCAGAGTACAAAGCTTTTGATAAGGCCTCTGTGATCCTCTTCCTCTTCTTTCTGATAACACACATTCAGTCAGAAACACAGTGGAGGGAACTGCATCATACATGACAGCGTTGTCCAAAATATATAATTTCAGAATACAATAGGTGAATATTGCTTGCTTTCCCACTGACTGCAATGAATACAATAAAAATCCAAGTAGTCTTTCTTCCGACCTGCGAATAGTAACTTACATGAGATTAACAGTGTTTCATAAAAGCCTGAACACAGATAAAAAGGACCTTTGGTTCAGGGGCAAATAAAATAATATATTGCCAACAAGTGCCAACTCTTTCTTCCGACCTGCAAATAGTAACTTACATGAGATTAACAGTGTTTCATAAAAGCCTGAACACAGATAAAAAGGACCTTTGGTTCAGGGGCAAATACAATAATATATTGCCAACAAGTTTCAGAAGCAACTGCTCCAGCAGTTCCTATATTGTGGTAGGGGAAATGATATTTTTTCTGCTCACTGTCTCTTTCCATTAGAAGCAGAGGTTCCGGGACAGAACACTAGGGTATATTTGGCAAGGAATACAGCAAACTTAGATAATGGTTTAAACTTTTAGTTTGTATCCAGCTGTGAGCAAATTTGGAACATAAAATCAGCAGTCAAAAAATGCTACAAGATGTAGAAAACCTCAAGATGTCACCTGTCCTTCTCTATGCACAAACCAGGAACAGCCTATTCTTAGGCTTATGTTATTCCTGACAAATCACCCTTGGCATGAAGTTCCAACTAATACCACTGTAAGGATCTTACTCAAGTTCCTTAGTCAGCATTTAGCTGACTAAGGAACTTGAGTAAGCCATTTATGTTTTTGACTTGAAAAAAGAGAAAAAATAAGAAAATGTCACTTTTTTCATAGTCTGTAGAACTGATTAACTGTTTCAAGTTTAAAATTTTGGCAAGAAAATTGAATTTTCACACCTATCTTTTTAATTGGTTCTGAAGAGGATAGTTCGACAAGCTGTTAACACCTTCATACTTTCCTGCTTCAGTATATTAAGCAAATTGGTTTGTTACTTACTTTTTGTGATAAGCAGTGGTGATACAGAAGATCAGTATGAAAACTAACAGTAAGACAGCAGCAGAAGTTCCTCCAGCTACGTAGATAATAAACCATTTGTGATCCCAAGTTGCTAAAATACAATTGTAATAAATATGATTAGTATTTTGTATAAACCAGCATGAAATTTTTAGGACATTATCCCATGACAGCTCATACTCCATATTCAGACCTCACAACCATTTCCTCATTTCTGAAACGCCTTTGTTATGCTGAACTATCTCTTGTGAAAGTTGCGACTGGGATGACGAAAGGTAAGTGAACATAGCACAGTGGTGTGAAAAAAACAGTGATGTCTTGTACAATCCTTTCCTATCTCCTTCCCTCCCCTCGTGAGAAAGCAGTCCTTACATAAGTGACTCAATATATGGATAATAAAAGCACTCAGATTACTTAAGTGAATGTTCTTGGCATTGTAAATGTCCCATAAGAGATACCTAAAAATCATGGAATACTTCCATGGGCAACAAGACGTTTTTCAGAATACCAGGAAGATCATCTCAGTCCTCAAGAGGTTTTCTATTCAGCACTGCACACAGCTGTACAAATTATTTTCTGCTGTAATTACAAAATAAATCTGTTCACTTTTTGCCAGAAACATTTCCACAAAAATTTCCCCTGTTATGATTGCTCTTTTTCAATAACCTAGTACTATACGTGCTTTGATGATGGATGTCAGGAAACCCACCGTATTTGTTCTAGTCTAAGCTAAAATGCTTTCCTGGAGAATTACAACCAAGGCAGGAAAAGTTACATTTACAATAACTTTGCTTAAAATGCATTGACTTCTTCTGTATGGAATCATATCTTCAAGTTAAGCTAAGGAGCAACATGTAATAACTAAAGGGTAGAGACAGGCAAGACAATGGCTTCAAGGTATAAGTCAATATATTCTTATGGTGCTCAAGTCTGCAGAGAGGTAATGTGGTATTATTCTCATTTTTGAGGTGAAAAAAAGCTGGAGGAAAGAACAGAGGTAATATACTGAAAGTCAGAGGAAGTCAACAACACAAGTCCTCAGTACAGTTATGCATTTAAAACACTTAGGAATTTTTTTCTTGTCACAATTCTGAACTTGGTTAGTGGTAGCATTAAAAAAGAAAAGAGCGTTAAACCACAGAACCTGAAGTTAACTTCTGCATCCCACCACAAGTGCCCTGCTTCCTGCTTCTCTGTTGCATCTCTGCACTAGCGCTCTGCAGACTTGAGACTAATAGCACAAAAAGCACCCAAACACAAACAGTATGCAATAAACATTTCTGTACATAGTGTATTAGTGGCTAGCGGTATCAGCTAGTCCAGGACACATCTTAGCCAGATGTTTTTACCAACTTCTAGCAGTCTCAAATCACCCTATGTGTCACTAATGTCTTGATGAGGCAAGCATTGGCTATGACTCTGTCCAATTGCCTAGCAAAGAAGAAATATTTCCTGCATGTTCTTCAGCTTCTCAACATGTAGGAATAAAACAAAACAAGAAGTGCAAAAAAGTGAGAACACCCTGGGATGGAAAAGGAATAATACCTCTTGTATTACTTACTACAAGAGGTGGTGGTCATATCTTATGGCCACAAATTCGTTTCTTGTGTTTCAAATAAACACTAGCGATTCACTGGTGAACAGGAACTAAAAAGCTGTCTTTCAATTAGTCCCTCTTTGATGCTCTGCTCACTGTACAGAGAAAGATAGTATACAAAGATGAAAACTCAGCTGCTCCAAAAAGCTTTCATTCTGGGTAGAAAAGAAACTTACATGATCAGTTCATGTGCAAAGGAAAGCAGTATCACTAATGACAGTAATCCCAGCTAACCAGCTGCTGAGCCATCACCAGATGGCTTTTCTCCTCTGGATCAAAAATGTTCACAGCTTCTTATCTGGCTGTCCTGAACACCAGTTGAGACTTGCTCAGGTAGACCTCTTTAGTATTAATGTGCTCATTGGAAAGGATAACAAAAAATACTAATTACAGAAGACTCTTATCCTTGAATTCCAATGTTATTTTACTGGAAAGAAAAAAGAAAGAAAAATCTCTCAGAAGTTTATACTGCTGAAGGTATGTGACATAGTAGAGAAGGCTGCCTGATAACAAAAACTGATGTCTTTTGTATTATAACCGCATATGAAATCACTCTACTTCCAGGATGTTTCCAACTGCTGTGTACTTAAAATGACAGGATGGTGCACATACCCATATCCAACTTAGGGAAAAATTATGTCTTTTTTTCCAAGTGTTTAGCTACTTGTCATAGAAAATCATTATCTGTGCCAGTGGGCACTTACAGAAATAAGGAGAAAACATCCTTTAAGCAACAAAGAAAAAATTTTTTAAACATTGTGTTTAATTATTATCAAGGATGGGTGAATCTGGATAGAGTTCCAGACTTCAGAAACATCCCCACCTTTCAGTCTAAGCACTCCGGACCTCTTTTTTTTTCCTGAAGCTTCACCTTCAGTTTTATCAGGTCAAGATAATAATCTCTGAGTTAATGAGTTTGAGAGCTGAGATTATCATCTGTCAGTTACATTTGGATGGGAAAAATCACTAGATTTTTTTTTTTTTTAGAACCAACCACAGCTCAAAGTCTGTTTGCCTTTTCTCATCTGAAGTGAGCACAGCCCTCCTGAGGCATTTGTTTTCTTTAACTATACAAAACCTTTTGTAATTATTGACTGTAACAGAACATTGAAGGTTTTGCAGAAACATGTCAGAGGCATGTCATGTGTCTCTTTAGTTCTTGTGTTCTCATCAAAGGTGATATGCTGATGGGAGACTATTAAGTGTATTTTCAGCATCAGTACAATTTCTATTAAGTGTTAGACAATGTGTCCCTGCCTCTCCCATTTTTGTAGCCTTGGTTTTCTCCATAAGAATGTGAAATTTTTGAGGATGAAGGTTTTTGACCTTCAGTGCACTGAGTTTGGTTTTGAGGAGGAAGCACTAATGGGCCATACAGTTATTTGTTCTAACAAGAGATTTGAACTGCACTGTAAAGATCTTCATGTAGTTTGTCATGTGCCTTACTGGACTGACACGTATGGTATGCTAACTAGACATCATTAAAATAGTTTTGCCCACAAATGAAAGGCAGAAATCCATCACGAATGCATTCATGCCCACAGAAAGGTGGTTTGTTGAGTAAAGACACACAGACATACTGGGTGAATTAATGAAGGAAGAAGGGAACCTGATTTCACTCCTACCCAGATTCTCCCCACCCCTGACCGCAGCCTGACCTTCTGTCTGTTTTCTGTGGCACAGAAGTACTGCTGTTGCCCCTCAGCTCAGAAGGATTGTACGATAAGCCTCAATAACTGGACAAGTAGTCACTTGCTTTTCACATGGGTTCTGTGAAGATCATACTGGACGCTACTGAAAGACATTTAAAGGACAATTTAAAGGAACAGTTAACATGGATTCACAAAGGGAAAGTCCTGTCTAACTAATTTGATACCCTTCTGTGATAAGGTCACCTGCCTAGCGGATGAAGGGAACAAAGGCCGGATTCTGCACCTAGGAGGGAGTAATGCCAGACACAAGCATAAATTGGGAGAGGAGTGGCTGGAGAGCAGCCCTGTAGAAGGGGACCTGCGGGTGCTGGTTGACTGCAGGCTCAATATGAGTCAGCAGTGTGCCCTGGCAGCCAAGGAGGCAAACCGCGTCCTGAGGCGCACCAAACACAGCCCAACCAGCCAGTCAAATCACGTGTTGGTGCGGCCTCACCATGAGTACCACGTGCAGTTCTGGGCCCCACAATTTAAGAAGGATATTGAGGTACTTGAATGCATCCAGAGGAAGGCAACAAAGCTGGTGAAAGGGCTAGTACAAACCATAATGTAATTCTGACCCCTAAATGTACTTTTGAATATAACCACCAACCAAAAACCTTTTTTTTTTTTCAGAACTAGTGAGAACACTCAGCAACACCAAATGTTTCTATTTTCCTTCGTCGAAGAGAGCTTGCTATCCCACTTTCCGCTAAAGCAAGAAAAAAATTTATTAAATCCTTCTAAAAATGACTAAGTCTTCAAGATGGAATAAGCATTTCTTTTTCAACCCTTCTAATTTTTCAGTTCTTTCATATGACATCTCCCCTTCTTTCCCAATCATCTACCAAAATAATGCATGGATTTTAAGTCTGCTTCCTTCCTTCAAAAACATGCTTTAAAAGTGAAATCTAATCAAAGGAAAAAGCGTGGTAAGTAAAAATCATAAATGGATTCAGATGTGGAATCTGGTCACATGACCGATTTCCATATCAATAGAATTTTTAGAAGGAAAAATATGGTGAAGAACACACCAGGAATTAATCCAAAATCTCTTGAATATATTATATGATTATGTAATATTCAGCCTTCTGTTTCTTTAAGTGTTGTCCAACAAAGTTTATACTACTTTACATACACATGTTGTTTTATGTGTTTCAGGTTTTGAAGTCAAAAAAGATCTGCAGAAGACCCATTTCAGCTGGAAATACCTGTTACTGGAAAACAACAATCACAATATTTAGTGGGATAGAACAGACAAGCTAGATTTCATGGTTTTATTGGCATTAATGTTTGAAAACATTAAATGCAGCATGCCAACTTCCACTGATAAAACTGCAAGAATATCACAGGGTTTCCCAACACCTGAATACTTGTTCCTTTCTCTCTCCCTTTTTTCTTCATAGGAACCCTATAGTGTTTCTCCTTGCAAAAATACATTGACCTTTAGACAAGAAGCAAGTTGCTTCTTTCTACTGTGCCACCTCTTTGAATCAGCAGGCTTGGAACTGTTATCATGTCTGCAAATAATCCCATGGTTTTATTTCTATTTCTATTTCTATTCTTCTATTCTTTGACAGCTTCTCAAAAACAATAAATTTATTATCTTTCCTCTTACTCTCTCTCAACATAAACAGTTTTCCCTATTACTGTTTACAGTGAAGCTATTGTCCCAGCTCCTACACTAAATATTTCAAAATATGTCTAGAACTGGGCAAGGCAAGAAGATTTGCAGTACCCATGCCGAGTCACACCAACAGACTAAAAACATTGGAGGAGTTTAGTAGAAAATCCAAGCTAGAGTGTGGCTTAGCTGTAAGGCGAAGCCAAAGAAAATGAAGTGACTGTACCAACAGAACATATACAAAAAATTGCATAGCAAGTTTCTGTCACCACTTGGTTTATTCAAGCCACAGTTGTTGCATCAAGCAGAGTGAGTCACTTGTTAGTTTGTGAGAGACTTCACTGGCTATATCACAGGATGCGGTGGGAGCTAACGCCTGGGCTGTTGCTCCTTTTCCCTTACTGTTTCTCCATATCTCATTGGAAATATTAATTGTGTGTTATGAAACAGTTCCAAATGTTAAATAGCTGGAAATCCTTGACACTTCATTTCCTTTGCAATTAATGAAAATTCAACAAAATGCATTTCAAAATATGGAGTGAGGGCTTGAAAGGAAGACAAAGAGGTTTTTTCTGAATCACACTGTACTTCAGCTTCTTCAGTGGTTTCAGACCTTTCTTCTTCCAATGAACAGGCATAACTATGCTGACATTGTTAGAACTAAAAGTGATACATAGCATTTGTTTCAAGTGTAATAGAAGCATGGAAACTAAACTATTTTGGAAAAGAAATAGGACTGACCATGTAGGTAGGACTGACAATTCTAGTTATTGTATTTTTTTGCAACTCATTATATGCTTTCATTTTGGTATGGGAAGCACTGCACTTGAAGTAAACAAAAAATATTTCTATTGCTTTACAATTTGGATATGCTTGATTATATGAATATAGTCAACAATTTGAAATTTGAATATTTAAAATTGTCAGAGGTGAGAGGAATTTTTTCCCTGATACTCCTTTTCTTTTCATCACATTCTGCTCAATTTCATGGACTTTTATGGTCAAGTATTCAGAGTAAAGCAGGTCAGCATTTTTTTTTCCAAGCACATTCTCCACTTCTCAATAGCAATATCACAGATTATGCATATTCTGAAGTTTCATACCCAATGCCACAGCTCTTAGTACTGCCAAAGAAGGGTCTTCTACTAGCATTTATTTATTACCAACAGATCTGGACTGAAGTCTGCGACAAGAGAAGAAGGACTAGGTGGTAGAAGAACTGCCTCTTCAAAATGCATGCTATAGAGCAGAACTGAAACTGAGGGGTTTTTCAGTCATAACAGAAAATAGAAGTAAAGGCAAGATTCAGCTCACAGTTTGAGAAACCTTGTTTAAAGTGTCTGAATGTGGAGACCTAAGTTCCCATTATAATCAAACTGCGACAACAGTCACAGCAAAGCCTAGAGAGCTTCTCAGCTCCCCCTGAAGAAAGTCCTTACATGAAAAAGATAGAGGCATTTTACAAATTTTACATTTTCAAATGAGAGTGCCTTCTTTGCCCTCCTTGGAGGATAAGTCTTTCCCCCGGGACCCTGCGGTGCACTGTGCTAATGGGGAATTCCCCTTCTGGCTTCCCTGGGAGAAATCCTACCTCTCCCTACAAACTCAAGCAGTCTCTCCTCTTCCAAAGTGCCGCCTTCCTAACAGCAAACTAGTTTCTGACATACAGGTCTGAATTCCTATAATGAGATCAGACAAGCTTAAAACCAGCTTCTTTCTGTGGAAACATGATTAATTGTTAATTTTGCTATCTTTTACGCTCTGCTAATTGGAATGTGGTATTTAAACAAATCCTCAGTTGCTACTGAAGAGTTATTTAGATGGGTAAATGTGTTAACACCTCAGAAGGTCGTGTTGTGAAAACACTTACCACTTCCTCCTTTACTTACCAGACACAGTAAAACTCATCACATAGATTTGGTTTCGTCCAGTAGCTACGCAGCGGTACGTTGCAGAGTCAGAGGCAGTAATGTTTTGAATGACAATCACCTAGTTTGCCTGATCAGAGCAATCCACCAGTGTATGCTCTTTGAAATCTGAACCAAAGCTTTGCTTTCCTGATAAGTTGCACAGAACGACAGTGTCTACCTGACCTGCTTTAATCCTTTCCCATATCACTTGCTGCACTGAATCTCCAGTTTTATAAGGGCAAGTAAAAGTGACATTTCCTCCTGGCTTAATAAACACGTGATTATTTTGTTTCTCAGACACCTCAAAAGCATCTGTTGAAAAACACTAAAAACAACAAAAAAATTCTTAGAATTCCTTCAAAGGAAGTTTAGTATTAACAATTCCAGTATGGCAAATATTAATGAAATTGACTTACAACAGAAAGATACTCAAATCATTTGAAATATTGGAAAATATAATTTATACATATCTATGACTATATTTTTGTGCACATTCAGACAAAACAGTCTTTATGGAACTGTGAGGCTGCGATGACATTGCAAGAGGGCTATTTCCATGCATTTTGAGTGCATTATATTATTTTAACAGTTCCAGTAAATATTTAACAGCATAAATTGTGGGACCAGTCTAATTAAATTTGTGGTAGTATTGTTCTGCTTTGACACTAATTATAGTAAGAAAATGTTTGATGTAACCCTTAGGACATGCATTAGTAAATTATATTAAAAGACATTCCAGCCTATGATCTATAATTCTCCTATTCACGAACTTCACCACTTAAGTAAAAAAATTATTGTCCATTCATATGCTCTACTTGGGAAAAATCTGTGTGATAGTCTGGCTGTGGTATGAAAGGAGACTCCCAGATAAATTCAAGATTTCCATCACATATAAACCATAAATATATTATATCTTAAAAAATTTTCGCTGAAATCCCCCTAGTGTGAGTTATTGTTTCTAGTAATGGAATTCACTGTTTATTAATTAAGAAAAACATTTTAAAAATATCTGCAGTAGAAAGATTGTCAGTGTTTCTGATGTTCAGATCATTCAATAGCCACTTGATTTCTAAAGTCAGCTTTGTAACACCTGTATCTCATAAGTTAGGACTAGCACTGTTATCTTTTTGAAGCCTTTAGTGTTGAAAAAGATTAGTGATGAGACTGCTATTCCTACATTGTAAAAGGACTGATCTTTCAAGCTCTTAAATGAGTTTCTTTTTTGTTAGATGACTTTAAGTCAAAAAATATCATTATATTTTTAATGTGTTTGCCTCTACCTATGGCAACAACTGGAAGCAGAGACGGACAAATAAAATTGCGTAGGAAAAATGATCGTCATTAAATGCATCAAAATCTGTTGGTATAAAAAGTTTTAAAATTAAACTATAGACAGAGTCATGGGATGGGATGGGATGGGATGGGATGGGATGGGATGGGATGGGATGGGATGGGATGGGATGGGATGGGTACAGTAGGACTCTGAGTGGAACTGAATACACTGCAAGACTGAGTTAGCTTAAGATCCTCCTTGATTTAACATTTTTATCAAAAATACAGGGAAAAAAATGCTGGTAAACTGTATTGCTTTGGATGCTGATAATGCCAGGGTTGTCAAAATCATTGGTAATGGAGAAATCATCAATACAGGGTGGCCTAGCTTACCACCTAAGCTAGGTGCAAAGAGTAGTCAGATTTCATGCAGGCATGCATACTGACCTATATCTAGGAATAAGTGATTCGTTTCATGTTGACAAGATGGAGAATTCATTGTGGAAGTCTGTGACTTCTGTAAATTGCACAGTCTCTGTGAAAGAGTGAATAAAAATGTCCAGCCTGTAATTTTCTATCAATGGAACACAGCACAGAAAAATTACATTCCCTCTGCCTTCAGAGGCCAAAAGTATGATTAAACCATCAAAATGCTGAAAGACAAAAGGAACAGTGTCTAATGAGTTTACTTAAAAAAATTAATGAAGAATTTGAAGATCCATGTAGACTGCAATCAAAGAGACTGAAAGTTAGTGATAGACAGTGACAGAAGAGAGATAAATTCACTAAACTAAACAGAAGGTACAACACAGTGGAGCTAATTAACTCCTTGGACATCTTGCCAAAGAAAGCTACAGATCTATTATTGATGACAACTGCCAAGGCTGGATAATCGCTTAAGATATCATGCTAGTTCCAGCAAGAATTTACTTATGGATATCTAAGTATTATTCAAATCAGACTGCTATGCTGGGACTCTACACTTGCAAAAGATGTTTCTTGAAGTGCAGTCCCTCAAAAGTCACTACACTAGAAAAGATAAATTTTTTTCTATCTAGCAGATTCATAGAATAGAATCATAGAATACTTTGGGTTGGAAGGGACCTTTAAAGATCATCTAGACCAACTCCCCTGCAGTGAGCAGGGACATCTTCAACTAGACCAGGTTGCTCAGAGCCCCGTCCAACCTGACCTTGAATGGTTCCAGGGATGGGGCATCTACCACCTCTCCAGGCAACCTGTTCCAGTGTTTCACCACCCTCACTGTAAAAAATTTCTTCCTTATACCTAGTCTAAATCTATCCTCTTTTAGTTTAAAATCATTATCCCTGGTCTTATCACTACATGCCCTGCAAAAAAAGTTTGTCCCTATCTTTCTTGTAAACCCCCTTCAGGTACTGGAAGGCTGCTAAAAGGTCTCCCCGGAGCCTTCTCCTGTCCAGGCTGAACAACCCCAACTCTCTCATCCTTTCCGCATAGGAGAGGTGTTCCATCCTTATGATCATTTTTGTGGCACTCCTCTGGCCCCACTCCAACAGGTCCATAGCTTTCCTGTGCTAAGCTCCAGAGATTCAGATCTGCAGATTCAGATTCAGATCTGCTAGGGAAGATGGCTAAATTACAGTGCAATTGAAACCATTTCACTCTCTTGCCTGTCGTATTCTTACAGGTCAGATCCTTGCCTGCTGTCCCACTTTCCATACCACTAAATTCCAGTAACTGCCTTCTTTACAACAAACCACATATTCTTCCCTAAGAAATCTTGCCCTCTTCTCTGTGCAGTCTTTGCTGTCTTATTGTGCTATGAGCAAGCCCTACTGCTACCCAGGCTCTCCTTAGGAGCCTTGAAGTCTCCCCATGTGCTCCTGGGTCCATCCTTGCTGTTCTATTCATTTTGTGCCAGCCAATGCTCCCCTAACTCCAAGTGTTTCTCCTACTTAAACATGATTATCAGGGAAATTATGTGCATGGTGGTGATACTTCCCACCTTCCAGAGGATTCCCGCCTCACCAAAAGGGCAGCAACCAGGACTATATAAAAACCAGCCTTCTTCCCTGCTGCCCTGCTATACATTTTCTAGAAAAATGTACGTTATACATATCATGAACTGTGAACAAGAAGATAAGACATTTTCCACCAAAATTAGGAAAATTCCTTCTGTCTTAAAACTTACTAGTTAACTTTGTACGTTATACTTGCCAAAAAATATATCACAGTTTCCCAGTAACATATAATACTACAACATAATATAGTACACTGCAATAGGCACATTACAACGGTAAGTTGCCTTGCAAACTCAGTGAAGAATTTCCAGGCACAAATCTTGATATACTTGTATAATGTGCTGCTATAAAAGTCATAAATAATAAGTTAATGGTGAGTACTATGCACAAAGAGCCAAACTGAAATAGAAAGAGTTTTGAGATTCTTGGCTGCTGTACATGCTATCATAACCATTTTTAAACACAAACATCATTACAGTTCTTACTTTTTTGCATTGCATGTGTGTTTTACTTGACAGTAGGCAGCAACATGCAAGTATTTTCACTCTTGATGAAAGGTGTAAATTCTTCACTTCTTACAACATGAGAGCTTGTACAACTGAAATGATTATGTAAGTCACAAGCAGTAGAGAATTAGGCCTATGTAGCTGTAATTAAATCTTGCACTGAAGTGTTACAGGCTTTTGTTTTAGGCAATTTTCTCATTTTATTTTGACACCAACATCAGCATAGTTCTTTCATCCTCCCTTTGCTCTGTTCAACCACTTTCTTTATTTAGCACCTTTCTGAACACTTTGCTTTGCTTTCACCTGATAAGCGTGGGATGAGAACCTCCTGTTCTAAGAAATATTTCTATGGGGAAAAAGGCACACCCACATACCTTCAGCCCCGCACACGTGCAGCTCAAGGTGACACACCATGTGTGAAGGTTTCAGAAATGCTCAAAAATTTGTGTCTTTGCACCTGATAAAAATAGATTTCCCCTGACCGATGCCCATTCTGGCCACTGCCACTACTGCCTGCTCTGCCCCCAGCCATGGCCATATAATCTTGCCTTCACAGAATCACAGAATCACAGAATGTTCGGGGTTGGAAGGGACCTCTGTGGGTCATCTAGTCCAACCCTCCTGCTGCAAGTTCTTCCTCATGTTCAGATGGAACTTCCTGTGCTTCAGTTTGTGCCCGTTGCCCCTTGTCCTGTCACTGGACACCACTGAAAAGAGTTTGGCCCCATCCTCCTGACACCCACCCTTCAGATATTTATAAGCATTTATTAGGTCCCCTCGCAGCATTCTCTTCTTCAGGCTGAACAAGCCCAGCTCCCTTAGCCTTTCCTCATAGGCGAGATACTCCAGTCCCCTCACCATCCTCAGAGCCCTCCTCTGGACTCTCTCCAGTAGCTCCTCATCTTTCTTGGGCTGGGGTGCCCAGAACTGGACACAGTACTCCAGATGGGGCCTTACTAGGGCACTTATTATTATAAGTGACAAAATAATTTGCAGATGAAAAGAAAGCTAAAAAATTTATGAAGATGTACTTTCTCCATGGCTTTCCTTTTCACTGAGAAAATCAACTTCCAGATGAGAAAAATACTTCAAGAGTGACCCCTTCACCCTTCCTGACTATGCTAAATATGAAATTGTATTTAGCTCCCAAACTAATGTCTTCCAACTGTATTAGCACATACCACACAATTTTGTTGAGTTTGTGAAAAAAAGGTTTTGCCCTTTTTTGGATGAGACAGGGAGACATGGATGCACAGCTATTAAACAAGTTGGAACAGTAGAGATCTTAATTTCTAATGAGCTACTGACACCACATCTACGATCAGACTCAGAAACCAGCAGCAGTGTGGTGTTTGAAAAGGATGTGTTTTTCTAATAGCAACTATTTGGATTGTAAAAGTTGAAATGAAAGTATTTATACTCCTATATCTTTGAAAAACCCCTTTAAATACATATTAAATTATATTGTGACAGTTTGATGAATCATTCTGTACCAAATATTAATTCTGCATAATATTATAAACACTTAGCATGCAAGTGTAACTCCTCTGCCAACTCCAATTTGTTTACATGTATGCCACTACTCTTTGTTGTTATTTTCTTCTTTTAAGCTGAACTTTAGTAACCTAGACTACTAGGAAATGTAGGAGCCAAAAAGAGGGAGAGAAAAATAGTGCAGTGATAATAAGAGAGAGAAAACCATCCTCTCTTCAGGTATAAACAAACATTCATGAACTTCCAGCAAGAAGAATTTGGTTGTTGGGGAAAAAGTCATCTGATAAAAGCAAATGTACTTTGCCAGAATTCACCTGAAGAAGAGTGTTGAAAATATGAGGCCAGAATTTCAAATTTTGATCCTCTCTGGGAATTTCTGCAGTTCAGGATGAAGGGAATTTAACAGCAATAGGAGTTCAATGAGCAGACAGAAGGAATGACACAGGATACTGCGCTCAGTCTTCACTTATTATTAATGACCCATATAGTCTCACAGTGGAGGAAGAGAAATGCTATACTGAGAAACTGCATGTCACAGCACACATGTGTGCACGGGTGTGTGCATTTGTGCCTACCTGCTCATACCTTCCACAGGGTTCCTGAGGGTCAGACTTCAGGCACAGCAGAGGATATAATATTTTAAGCCACTCAGAAGAAAAAAGGCAGGAGAGAGGGGAAGGCAAAGGGTGTGAAAAATCAAACTGGCTTCTAAGCACAGCTATTGAACTAATGTTTCTCAGGAGGGAAAGCCAAGGGTGCCAAGGGAATGGACAGGGCACACGCCCATGCTGCCTCGCCCCAGAAGTGTTATAATGCTCAGGAGTGCAGCATGAGGATGCACGGTGGGGAATTGCTTCCCTGCATCTCAAGTCCTAATTATTACTTCTAATGGATTGTTTTATGGACTGAAAATATATTGGAGAAGAAGGAGAGATACAGTTTATTTCATAATAAGTTTTTTATGCAGCTTGGTATGAGGTAAGAAAACGGAAGGAATCCATATATCACCAGTATTTTTTACCGTATGTTTCCTTTCCATTTCTTTTTGTCCTTATTAAGTTATAAATTATTTTCTTGTCTGCCAGGCCAGCTGAAAGAAAGGTTCATCACTAGAAATATAAGCAACAGAAAGAAGTTCTGTAGATGGGAAGATTTCAGAACATATGATTAGTGATTTCCTTCAGACTATTTGGAAGTTTAACTATCTGAATCTGAAATTCCTTTTACCCTCTGCTTTCACATACCTCTGTTCATTCCATAACCTAACATGTATTTCCCCAAATAAAATATTATTCAGTCTGTCCTAGATAAATTAGTGCTATATCTCATTAATTTTGAGTATATTAAAGCTGTCACTGTACACTTTCCACTTCCCCCTGCAACAGCATCCTGTAATGATTTCCAGATTCCATTATCTCAAAATTTCACCCATCACATTTACACTTTGAGAAACAAAACCCAAAGTTATAAAACTCTTGGATCTGGATTTAAGAACTGAGTGTCATAGAAGTCATGGTTGATACTAGCAATAATACCACACTTAAGTTGAATTTCTCAGTGGTGGCTGCAGTGGCATAGAATTAGGGAAGAGTAGCTAAGAAGATTAAGTATTTTTGGCTTATAGATGCAGGGGAATACTTGCCCCCCCCAATTTTTTTTTAACCCACTAGATTCAGCTCCAGGTCTGTTTTTGCTTTTCTAACCGCATCCATTCGTGCTTTCAAGGTTCCTTCCAGGTCAACTGCCCCTTCTTCCATTGTGCCTATGCTTCCTTTTTATGTTTGAGCTTAGTCAGGAGCTTCTTATTCATTCACACATTCATCCTTCTGGCATTTTTGTTTGGTTTCCCACCTGTCTGAATGGACCACTGGAGGAGGTTTTCCCTGAAAATCTTTTGTCCATCACCCTTGGGTCTGCTTTTCTGAAGCCCAGGGTTGTGATCCTGATTTTTGTTTTTATCCCCTTCTCTCAAGATTATGAACTCTACTATGCAGCCAAAGTTGCCGCTGATCTTCACAGTCCCAACAAGATCTTCCTTCTCTGTAAGTCTGAGGTTGAGCAGAGTGCCTCCTCTCCTCGGCTACTTAATGACATGAGTGAGGAAGTTACCATCAATACACTCCAGAAGCACTGCTGTGTTGCTCCTCTACAGATACCAGGTGGTTGAACTTTCCCATGAGAATCACAGAATGTGAAGCTTCTTCCGGTTGTCTGATGGAGGATTCATCTGTAACAAGCCTGATCACCCTGATCAGGCAGTGAGTAGCAGACAGCCATCACAACATCACCTATGTTGACCTGCCTGCTAACCCTGACCCATGAGCTCTCAGCTGGCTCATCATCCATCCCTAGGCAGAACTTCTCTTGTTCCCACTGCTCTCTCACATAAAGGGCAGCTTTCCTTTCCTACCATCCCAGCTTGTCCTTCCTAAAGAGCCTATATTCAGTGTCTCGTGTATGCCATTGCAGCATGCCAGTCATGTCAGCCATCCCACCACGTCTCTGTGATCACAATGAGATCATAGCCCTGCAACTGCACATAGAGTTCTAATGCTTTGTTTGTTGTCCATGCTGTGTTCACTGGTATACAGATACTTCATATGGTCATCCAGTCATGTTGATGTCCCAGAAATGGTATGAGAGCTTCTCCACAATGTATCCCCTCAGCATTTCTTTCTTTGTGCAGGCATACTTGGAAAGGTCAGTCTTGTGCCCTGATTTGCTGTTTTCAGGGCATTTCCTGTCCATATAATTCCACACCCTTTGCTTCTCAGCCCAGTCCACTTCCTCACTCCTTTGTCGGTTGTCGTCTCACTTTCCTGTTAAAGCTTCTCTCACCAGCCTGTTGGCAAGGACGGGTTTTCCCCACGTGTTCAGGTGTATCCTGTCTCTTCCTAGGAGTCCTTGATCATCAAAAAGGCATTGTGGTGGTAAAAGGTAACACTCTGGTGTTGACACTAGCCATACAACTGTGCCTTGACCCACTGAATCCACCCCCTCTTCCCAGGGCTTTTCCCTTCTTCACCAGGATCAAGGAGACACCACTTAAGTCACCCATGTCCTTGATCACCACCTCCCAGCAGCATATAGTCATGCCTGATGTGCTCCAGGTCTCTCCTGAACTCCTCTTTGCTGTACGTGTGTAAAAGCAACAGGGGTTAGGAGTCTGATGACTGGACAACCTTTGGCAGTCTCTCTGCAGCATCCTAGAGTCTGCTCTGGCAAGCAGTAAACCTTCCCTGATAGCAGGTTGGGTCAGCAAATGAAGAGATGAGAAGCGAGAGTCATCCCTAAATTATCACACAACAGCAAGTCAGGTAATAGCTATAGTATCCAGCTGACAGGCAGTGCATGTTCATCAAAACAATGCTCATAGGGAACCTATAAAACCACCCTTCTAATTTTATCTTACTTTGGTAAAAACACAGCAGTTCTCAGGGGTACTGAATTTTTTCCTTAACACAGCATATTCTGATGCAAACAAAATAAAATAACAGCATCATTAGTCTTAGCAACTAACTGAACATTCAGAAGGGTAAGGAGTAAAAAGAAGAAAATGGAAAAAAATAAGTAAAAAAATCCCCAGTGCTGAATAGAAGGATCTGGATGCTCTGATTGCTAGACAAATTGCGTTGAATATGTTATTACTTTATCTGCTTCCAAGAGACAAATTTTCTCAGGTACATAAAAAGAGAGTCATATACAAGACAAAGGAGGCATTATTCTGCTTCATTTAGCAATGGTAAGACCTTAGATGGATCATGGTCTTTCTTTCCATGTATCTTATTTTAATAAGACTGATACAAACCTGCAGAACAAGAACGATGAAATTTAGAATCACGAACTAAGAAGAAAAATAAAAAGAACTGTGTTTGTTTAGTGCAGAGGGATGACTGAAGGCTGTTAACATGAGAGATTCCTCTTTTCTTCAAAGGAAGGATTACAGTGATTAAGCTCAGTATTAAACAAGAGATATCTAGGTTAGGTATAACAGAAAAAAACATCTCCTTGTAAGGCTGGTTAAACTCTGGAACAACTACACAAGAGTATTATGCATACATTTCCAACATGGAAATCATTCATGATGATACAGCTATGCTTATCCTGCCTCAGAACATACAGATGGATGAGATGCATTTGGAACGTCTCTTCCAGCCTGAGTTTTCCACAATTCTATAATTACTTTTGATCTAAGATTTTCCTTCAGAAAGGAAAAGGAGATATCTGCTCTACTCCCAGCGGGGCTGGTTTGGTTATTTTCGCCTAGCCTTTTATACTGAAGAGGCATCCAATCTTTAGTTCATCCAGGAAGATTAAAAGTAAGAAAAGCATCATTTAACAGGTCAATAATCACAGCAGAGGTGTGAAAAAGGCAGCTTCGTTTGACTCCATCTTCTTGCTTTCTAATTAGGCACTGGCAATGCTGTTGACACTGCATAAGATAGAGATAGTTCTTGCTCTGGGGGGCTCAGAGTCTAAAAGCCAAAGAATCAAGATCCCTCAGGATTAGTTCTTGCTTCCATGTGCTTTACAGGGCTGATAATTTTTCACTGTAGACCTATGAATCACATTCTAAATTGAGACAGAGATAAACAGAAAGCAAGATATTTCAGGTGAATAGGGACTTGAAAAAAGATCTATGCAACGTGCTGCTTTTGGCAGGCAGAGAACATTAATACAGAAGTAAGTGCTGAGTGGCATGGATATCATCACACTAGCTAAGAATAGAAAAGCTCTGTCTCTGTTATCACAGAAGAGGTTGATCTCTCTATTTAAAATATGGGAGTACTTCATGGTACATCTGGCATTTAAATACTCTATTAATGAACTTCCATTATTATTCAGAGTTGCCAGCAAAACATATTCCCTGAGCAAATGGTCCATTGTCACTGATTGACAGAAACACAAATTTACTCATGAATTAAAAACAAAAGAAAAATTTACAATTATATAACAGCAACAACAAAAAAACTCCAACTAATTATGCAACTCTGCATAATTCACATTATGGATGTTAAAGTCTCCAAGAACATCAAAAGAATATTTCCCATTCTATTCACACAATAGCATGGGAATTTTTACTTCAAACTAGCACTCTTTAACACCTAACTAAAATAAAACACCTGAGAAAATAAACATAAGTTCCAAAATATATAGAAATTCATGTTAGAATTCAACAGTTTTGAAAGGCAAGTAAACAGACACAGAACATAAATATTCCAGGTAATTTCAACTACATTCGCTCTTTATGTAAATAAACGTACAATATTGCTCTGCCATAAAGGCCAGTTTTCATTTAAACAGTTTCTATATCACATTATTCTTCACTGCTGAATACTTTTGACTTTCTATCTAGATGTGTAGCAAAGGCATAGTGTGTAGGAGTAGAACAATATCCATTTGTGATGTCTCTAACCATGTTTATTATATTCTCTATTTGAAGTTAAATTTGCATTGTAAATTTGTCCATCCTGTATTTTAAGATTACTGATCCAACTTAACTGATTGAGTTCTGCATCACAAAGCTCTTCACAAGTTGATTTACTTTGCTTCTAAGACAGCTTTTACCTACACTCAATCATCCCTGATTCTGTTAAAATAATCAACATTCTAATTATAAATTTCAATAGAAACTTAAAACCCCTTAATTCAGGGATTGCTACATTTTGATGGAACGTAACCTGGAGAACTAACTATTAACAAGGTTTGAGAGGAGGTGTGAAGCACAGGAAGAAAGAAAGAAAAGAAAGAAAAGAAAGAAAAGAAAGAAAAGAAAGAAAAGAAAGAAAAGAAAGAAAAGAAAGAAAAGAAAGAAAAGAAAGAAAAGAAAGAAAAGAAAGAAAAGAAAGAAAAGAAAGAAAAGAAAGAAAAGAAAGAAAAGAAAAGAAAGAAAGAAAGAAAGAAAGAAAGAAAGAAAGAAAGAAAGAAAGAAAGAAAGAAAGAAAGAAAGAAAGAAAGAAAGAAAGAAAGAAAGAAAGAAAGAAAGAAAGAAAGAAAGAAAGAAAGAAAGAAAGAAAGAAAGAAAGAAAGAAAGAAAGAAAGAAAGAAAGAAAGAAAGAAAGAAAGAAAGAAAGAAAGAAAGAAAGAAAGAAAGAAAGAAAGAAAGAAAGAAAGAAAGAAAGAAAGAAAGAGAAAGAAAGAAGAAAGAAAGAAAGAAAACTATGCTATGGTTAGGTACATGGCTGGCAACTGGCAAAAAGACACAGCTGAGTGTTGTATTTTGAGTGGCCATTTGGGATGACAGTTAAACATGCACCTCCATACACACCTGCCCAATGGAGTGACCAAGTACGCTGTTCTCTCAGTGCTCTTTCGTTAGAAAGTAAATTACAACACCTGCAGCTTCAAATCCTTTCTCTTTTGGGCAGCAAGTATACGCAATAACTTCTTTTTTGACGATCACCGATTCTGACCTGATGTCTCCAATGCTAATACTTCTTCTATTAGTAGTGACTTCACTCTCTGCTCCTCACATTTTATACTGCACTCAAAATCAGTCTTCAGACACTAAACACTGTCTATAAGAAACTACAGATCACCCTTAAACTTTTCATGAAGAAAAGTGAAATAAAACTACTGACTATTCCTACATAACCATTACATCTTATAAAAAAATTTAGAATGAGTTTCTCTGAAAGTATGAAGGTTTTTTGCTTAGTTCAGGGGAAGTGATGATTCATAAAATGTGGGAACACTAAAAGAAAAAAACCCTGAAACTGTTGGCTATATATTCACACTACAGAAAAAAGAAGCAACAGATTCACCCAACTGACAAATATCTTTCTGTGGGATAACTAGATTATTCTTTGCCAATATTTTAATGTGTAACCATGGCAGAACATACTCTCAAGTTCTTCACAGTTATGGTACAGAATTTCAGCACTGCATCCACTTGTGAGAATTTCCTTAACCACATAACATGAAGTTTCCAATATAATGTCCCAGGTATTATTGCTTTTCTGTTAGTATGTTTCAGTAACTGCCAATAAAGAGAGCATGGATAATGTTGTGCAGTCTGCAAGAGTTCTTTCTCACCTATTTCATAGATGTCGTAGGAAATCTTTAGCCAAAATTTAAGGCAAAAAGAACACACTATGTCCTAACATTTTTATTATGTATTCTGATACAGACTCAGGATTAAGCTGAGACCACATGTAGTAAAACAAAAAAATTAATTAGTAAAATAATTACATAAAAAATTTGATATAAATGGTGATTTCTCACCACTCCTTGGGTCTCCCATCTGCTAGTGGTGCAGTGAGGACAGTACACCAAGAAAAGACCTCTGTAGTGAGAGCTATAACCTTCTCTGTCTTCTGGGATCTCAGGTCCTTATGACAGCTCAACCATTGCTTATCCAAGATTAATCATTTTTTGTTGTTTTGTACCTGATTGAAATATTTTTTATTTTAATAAAAAAACTTTAAAGATGAACATTAGTGTCCTAATTTTACAGGTTGGAAGACAAAGAAGAAAACTTATATATCTAGTGTCAGAAGCAACCTAAAATACCAGTTGCATGAAAGTGAATTTGAAGTATACTCTTTATTTAATCAAATTGAGGGAGTTTAAAATATTTAGCACCGATGAAGGTGCTAGTAAAATAAGATAAAGCCCGACTGATAACAGTTCTACTATAACTACTACGTAAACAAATACCTTCTCTAAACTGTGGTTTTAACCACATATTTAATTTGCAGTGTAGATTGAAGTTGTAATATTTTATCTTCACTGGTGATACCCTTCATTCTCTTCAGATCAGTGTTTGTAAAGATCACGTTTACACACATCTATCAGGAGCTGAACAGGATTATTCTCAGAAACGTTGATTCTTTAAATGGAAAAAGATTAATTGCTATCCAACATTATTATCTCCCTCTGTAGTAGGATTAAATCAATATACTCGAAACTCTGGAGAGGTTACTGTCTCTTTTAGAGTGCTCAAACCAAGAAAGAAATCCTACATACTGAGACTATGGAATCCCACAGTATCATTTAAAACACCATACCTCTGATAACTCGTGAATAAGGGCTCAGCACTGCCAGAACTCAGGTTGGACTGAACCAAAGAAGAAATCTGATTTTCCTGTTTCTTTTCATAAACAGCAACCTGGATTTCCAGATCTTCTCTTATCTGAATGCAACCAAAAAGTATTTATCTAATGCCTGCACTTGCTATAATACTGTGCACTAAATGGACTGCCAGAGAAAAAGAAAGTAGGGAGATACGACTTTAATAACATTATTACTTACAGAATAAAAAAAAATACCAGAGCAAAGCAAACATTCAGAGACGCCACTAAGGGAATCACATCTGAGGAACTCTGACCTGGACTGCAAGCCTACCCTGAGGTACCCTGCTCAGCTCTTTCACTAGCGAGTCATTCCTTCTGCATATGAATGACGGTGAATTACACGGCTATGCTGGTGTGCCACACAGGGGAAAATCATTTAAATTCCAAACTATCTTATCTAATTAAACAATCTGGGGAAGACAGGAATTTTTTTTTCAAACTGAGGTCAATAATTTGTGTGTGGCTTCATTTCTGATTTGATGAGCAGCAACATTTACTAACAAAAAGCTAGCAGAGACAGGAAGACAGACAGGGATTCCTATTTCATCAGCACCATAAATAAATGTGCTGGCTAAAATCATGTCTCAGAAACGTTCAGTAGTGCAGGCATGAACAATCTATCTTGAATTTTTGAAGTTTAGATACCTCCTACAAAAGTCAGGTCCACTGTTTCATTGTAACTTTGAAATTACAGAAGTGTAGCTAAGGTTGAAATACAGACTCAGAAGACCAGGCTAGGAAAAAAACTGTTAGTTTTACCTTCTGGTCTCTCAAATGCTAGGAATTGTTTTGGCTGGGATAGAGTTAATTTTCCTCCCAGTAGCTGCTGTGTTTTGGGTTTAGTATGAGAATAATGTTGGTAATACACTGATGGTTTTAGTTCTTCATAAGAAAATAAGGACTTTTACCCAGTTTCTCACATTCAGCTAATGAGCAGGTGTGTAGGAGCTAGACCGGACCATAGCCAGGCAGCTAACCCAAGCTGGCCAACGGAAATATTCCATACCATAGATGTAATGTTCAGTTTATAAATGGGGGTTGGCTGGGGAGCAGGAACCTTTTTCGTGAGTTTGATCTTTTTTGTAAGTTTGAACTTTAAGTGAGTTAGGCGAGCTCTGTGAAATCCACAAGTTTGGCAAAATCCACAAGTTCCACAAAATCTGTGAGTTCTGCAAGTTCCACGATCACTGCTCAGGGACTGGCTGTGCACTTGGTCACTGGGTGGTGAGAGACATTTTATTGTGTATCACTTGTTTTGCATATTATTAGTATTATCATCATTATTGTTTTTCCTTCCTTTGTTGTCTTATTAAACTGTCTTTGTCTCAACCCATGAGCTTTACTTTTTGTCCATTCTCCTCCCCACCCCACTGGTGGGGGTGGGAGGGGGGAACGAGCAGCTGTCTGGTGCTTAGTTGCTGGCTGCAGTTAAACCACAACATGCATTCATAATGTCAAATCAAAAAACCAGTAAGCAAAACTATCTATCTTCTGAAGGGTGTTGCATCCTATGTACCTAATGATCTTCTAAGGAATTCTCTCCTATCAGAGAAGCTTGGTAATTTGTATCAGAGTTGTCAGTTGACCCATGCTGAATAGGCATGCATGGAAAAATACTAGAAAAGGGTTCTTTCTCCTTTATAGAGCTGGAAAAGAAACCAAATCAGATGAGTGGTCAGGTAATTACAGAGCCTTTGGAAAGTACGTGGACAGCTACACAGAAAGTACATAGGCATAGCTGGATCTTTTTCTCTCCTTCTTCCCTTTTCCATCTTTAAAATCTCGTTTTAAAGAAAAGGTCTTTTTTCTTCATTCAGACTTTCCTACCTCACTCCCTTTTGTTGCCACGCCATTCCTAAATGGTTATTTTGTTCCTGAAAGCACAAGCACAGAAGAGTTTCTGAAAAAAAAAATCCTGGAAAAAGGAATGCCCTCACCATATAATACCATAGTATTACCATAGTAGTACTATAAAAATATGGTACCCTCCATGGATAGTTACAGGGTTCATCCATGTAATTTTGTGGGTAGTTGCAATTTCATCCTCTGAAGAAATCCTATAGCTTGTTGAAATGCTATGAGAACCTTGGCCCAATGGAAGTATCACCATTGCAATGATCATTAGTGCCTGAAGTCTGCAATGTAATACGTTGCTGCTGTGACTTCTGTCTGTCTCCTCCGTTCCCCTTCCTTATTTCCTGCTTCTCTTCAAATGACCTTTTGTCAAAGTAGTATAGTTCTTTTCTGTCGTGTTAGTTCTCTTTCCCAGATTACTCCATCTCTGCATGCTAAATAATTGAAAAGAAAAATTACAATGCCAGACACTCCCTATATTGGCATAGATTTCTGTTTTGCATATATCAGAAATATAAAAAGCAATGGGAGATTTACTTACCTGGCTGAATAATTTCTATCACTTTTTCCCAAATTCCGTCTGGGTAAGTTACAATGGAGCATAAGTACAAACCAATATCCTCCAAAGTGCTCTTGATGAAGGATAAGGACTTGTCTTCCCTGGAAGCATTTTCAAAATAAATTCTCACATTGTATTTGTTTACAATATGTATGCCGTAGATTGGATGCAAGACAGCTATATATTCTTTATGAGTTACAATAAGTTTTGTCCAGGATGTCTGGATTATTACAGCTTTTTTTGGATATGTGCTTTCCAGTTTCACCTTCTCAGTAAGTTTTACAGTTGAATCCACAAACATTCCTTCTATGTTAGCTAAAGAACACACAGAAATTCAGTTTCAGAATTAATATAATTGAAAAGTGAAATTATAGAAAAAAGCAGAAACAACTTTAGCAGCACTACAAGCAAAACACTAAAGAAGTTCACTAAAAAAAAATCCCAGACCCTAGAAATTATCATTACTTCTAACTTGTCAATATCATTGAACAGTTAAAATTTGTCTGAACCACACAGTAACACACTTGTGAATTGTGATCATATCTGTCAGGATGTGACAAAGAAAGGAAACATGTTAGCTAGGAATAAGAAAGTATGCTTACTTCCACAAAGCTGGAGAACAACAACAAGGAGAACTGTGTGGTCCATCTCGAAGAACACTGCAATCCGTTACTATAGTGCAACATGGTTTTATTCAATCTCTGTGCACCATGTGCCCTTCTTGGAGGATGTTTTTACTTTTGCAATATGAAAAGCATCATGTGCTTTTTACTTTCACATTCTAAGAAACATCAAGTATGAGGTCTCGGTGCAGCTGCATCAGAGAGAGTCTAAATTCCTATCAAAATCCACCTCAGAGTAAAGTATTCATTACTAATGAATCTCTAGCAATATGCATGAATACTATGATCACTGATAAAGCAGGTATCTTTAGATTTCATCAGCAGAAGCAAATGGAATTCTTCCATGCCATGTATCCAAAATCAACAGAATTTCTCCATTTTTCTGACACTGCAGTTCAACATTTATCTATTATTCAGGGAATATAAAATCTGATGAGAAAATAAAACACTTCCTGTATATTAGAGGTGATAATTCTGTGACTAGGTATAAAAAGCAGTGTCTTAAGGTCTGAGACTTTATTTGTGATAACATGTCATGAGATAGTATTTTGGGACCAAAATTATGCAGCTCGAAAATTCTTGTCCAAAGGTGTAAGAATCCTGAGTATTTATGACTCATGCTGAAATTTGTCAAAACAAGCCACGCTCATGCTTTTTTTGTGGATTTTTCTCAGGACAACTGCAAGCATTTTTGCACTTCAGCAGGCCATAGTTTTACAGAGCTGCTTAAAGTTGGAATAATATGATTAGTTTCCAGTCAAAATTAAGCTTGAATCAACTAGTTAAAATTCTCAAATGAATAAACAAATGTAATTAGAACTAAAGCTGACAACAAATATTAATATTTAAGGTGAGTAATAGCCTGCACAAGCTTGAGCAGGACTTCACATTAGTTGTGGATGCCCCCTCCCTGGAAGTGTTCAACACCAGTTATCTTTTCAAACAGATCAAAAGATGAACTACATATAGTTTGTCCAGGAAACAGAAGTATTACTGATAAGAAAAGCAGGAAATAGAAAGCTTCAAAAACTAAACTGTAGATTTTGCATTGTAAAAGAAAGGTTCTTGTGAGTTAAAGGGGTCCGATTTCTGAATGCTGTGTGGCATCCCAGCCTTTAAACCTGCTACACGGGATCTATATGGCTCCCACATTTAAATCTTTAACCTCAGTGTTTAGCTGTTCTCAAAGTGCAGTTGCAAAAGTGGCAAAAAGAGTAAGTATCTCTCTAGCTTGAAATATTATTCTTTATGTCATACTACATATGTATATAATAGTTTACAGATGAGTGATGTTCCACAAAATCTAAAGTGAAATTAAAAAGACAAACATGTTATTTTTTTTACTATTATTATTACAAATGAAACTTTTTACACACCTGTTTTCTTTAATCAAAGCTAAGGTAATGTACTCAGGAAGTCTCCAAAATGATGATAAATTCTCTTAAATGAAAATTATTCTTCACTCATCTGTATATAAAAATATAAATTAGAATTATATTGCTCTGCACTTCATGCTTGTTTCTCTCCATCTGGCATTGAAAGAAAAACAGAAGTTGAGAAATTAATATCCAACCCCGCATGATGACTAAGTATCAATGATACGATATGTTAATGTCTAAAGATATTTATTTGCTGTAAAACAGACACAGTTAGTACAAATGTCAGGAATTCTTGTCAGCTAGTTGCAAGAATAGAGTCCTTTGTCACACCTGCTAAAAAAAGCAGGCTCTAACCAGAGCATTACCGGGTCTCCCTCTAACGGCTGCAAGACGAGTCCCCTCCAGACACTAGTACAAGTCCCCTCTAGACACCTGGGCAACATGCCTGCAAGTCACAAATCAGAATCACAGAATCACAGAATGGTAGGGGTTGGAAGGGACCTCTGTGGGTCATCTAGTCCAACCCTCCTTCCAAAGCAGGGTCACCTACAGCAGGTTGTAGAGGACCTTGTCCAGGTGGGTCTTGAATATCTCCAGAGAAGGAGACTCCACAACCTCCCTGGGCAACCTGTTCCAGTGCTCCGTCATCCTCAGAGGGAAGAAATTCTTCCTCATGTTCAGACGGAACTTCCTATGCTTCAGTTTGTGTCCGTTGCCCCTTGTCCTGTCACTGGGCACCACTGAAAAGAGCTTGGCCCCATCCTCCTGACACCCACCCTTCAGATATTTGTAAGCATTTATAAGGTCGCCTCG